TGGAGAAGCAGAGGTAGTCCTGGGCCCTTGAAGAGACCAGGGTGCACGGCTGTGCCTTGTTACTCCCTGGATCCAGGCAATGAAAGGGCTCACTCGACTGAAAACATAGGGCCTTTTGCAATGTTCATCAAAGTGACTCAATATTCCCAACGGCACCCAGGTGTTCTTCTGTTGGAGACGGCACACCAGAGGTGCCCCTCGATCACCCTGTAAGAAACAAAACCGAGTTCTAGGGGACCTGAAGGATTTAGGAAGTGATTTTAGTGTGGAAGCCTATTCCTTTGTCCCCATGTCTTTCGTATTCCCTCAGTTAGTCACCTGACAGCCAGCCTCCCCAGTAGCGCTCTTGGCTTCCACACACAAAGTGAATTGTGCACAAGTGCTGGCTTGCAGGATGCTCATGTGTCTTTTGTGCAAAATTCCAGATTTTCCTGATCGACAAGAAGAGAAGATTGTTTGGTTTTTGCTTTATTTTACATTGTTTGAAATTTCGCCTAAGTTTGGGGAAGAAATGTGACTGAAGAGAGAGAAAGAAGTCTTCTATTACTCATGAGAGGATACTACTCCCTTTTCAAGCAAATCATTCCATCCTACCTCAATTCTTTCTTCATTACTTTCTTCATTACTTGTTATTTTAGAGATGAAGACACTGAATTTTATGAGACAAGAATCCTGAAGACCTGAGTAGGTAAAACAGGAATTCTGAGACAGACGCCCCTCTTCTTACAATGAGATCATATCGTGACAACCACATAATCAGTTGAAAATATTGTAAATTGAAAATGTATTTAACACACCTAACTTTCTGAACAGCATAGATTACCAACAATCTTACCCATGAAGTGCATACTAGGGTATAGTGGTTTAGCTGTTTGGGGCATGGCTAATTGGGAACTAAAGCTAACTGGCCCTGAGGCGTCCCACTACATTTTCATATTTCACGTCACTGTACTAGGAAAAGATAAAACTCAAAACATAGCTCCTACAAAATCCGTGTGACGTTTGTACTACCTTTAAGTACATGACATAAACAAATTTTGAAACATTAAAACCATACAAGGAGGAAATATGAGTCAATGAATGTCTATTTACAGGTTACGATTTAAACAGCATAATTTCCAGCATATTTCATACATAAAAATGTATAAAACAGTTCATTCTTTTACAATTTACAAATGTGCCCTGTGAATTCTGAAATTATCCCCAGGAGGTGGATAGAAGCTAATTTGGACCTGCATGAGAAAAATGAGTAAAATAGAAAATGGTAGTCTTTAGGACAAAAAAATCTAGAAATATTTCTTACCCAGTGCTTGGGATATGTACGCTTTCCTACTACAAAGGAAATACAATACATGCCATAATTGCTGATCAGAAGAGACATCAAATTTGATTTCTATAAAGAAGGACCTACATCTGCCTTGTTCAGAAACACCTCACCATAAACAAGATCAAATATTTTATCAGTTTATAATGATATTTTAAACTTAATGTGAGTTGGTCAGACATACATGAAATTGGCACATCTCGCAGATGTAAGGATCCACTGTTCGTTCAGTATTGAGCCAGCACAAAGATGGGAGAAAGACAGTTGTATGGACATCATCCAAGGAAATTCACCCATTTCTGCCTTCCTACTGCTGGGACACCGAGATACAATGCCAGGGAGTAATCCAAACTCTGAAAAAGAAATCCACATGCGGGATAAAGTTAATGCTACCCTGTCTTTTCTGGGTAGGCTCATTTTCTACTTTTACATTTTATGAAACTGAAAATTTGCCGTCTTCAAATGTGGGGGCTTGCTTGGAAGTACACTACTAACTCCATACCATCTTAAATAGAGACATGGGCTCTCTGCATATTTTCCTTGAGTGATAATTAGAAGCCTAGGTATTCTTCAAGGAAAATAATGAACCTCTTCCAAAGAGCTAAAAGTTGATTTCCAGAAAGAATTACACTCAAAAGACTTGGGGCATAAACATTCTCTGCTTAA